GGCCAGGCCCACAGAAATTGCCCAGTGAACACTGGTGGATGAAAGCGTACCCAGTGCAGATGACATGGGTTTAGTCTCTGGCTCCTCCATCCCTTCCCCCAGTCTCCTCCTCCCTCTGACCTCTGTTTCTGCATCTCTGTATATGGGGTGATGTGCCTCACCCTGTGCCTGGGGCCAGGTGAGCTGTAGGTTCCTGGGTCCTAACTCCTAAGGAGGATCAGAGATGAGGGTGATGAGAGTGAGTGTTGTGTGGCTATGGACTAGCTCAGCTGCCTCCATCCCTCCCATAAATGCCCCAGAGAAAACAAATAACTCACCCTCCTCCCTAGGTCTTCTCAATCCTCCAGAATCTGGTCTCCCACCAGGAGAGGTTCACCTTCCGGCCTAACCGGTTTCTCTCAGCAGAGGCCAGGTGGTGCTCAGCTGATTCGAGGCCCTTGCCTAGACCCCACGGAGGTGAAGGGTTGGCCTGCAGAGAGGACACGGCATGGGAAGCTCTTGGCACAGATGACACATGCTCCTTGTCAGGGACCCCTACCAAACACCCTACCCTTGGGGCTTGGCACAAGGTGGCTCCAGGGACCTACTCAGCAGAAGAGGGCGCACAGGATGTTCACCTGTGGGAAGGGCTCACCTGGGGGAGGGGCTGCACCCATCAAAGCTCACTTTACCCACAAACTCTGTCCAGCAGAAGCCTGTTGGCTGTATTAATGGATGTCCACTGTGACACTTCTGAGTTTCTGCAAGGTACTTTCAGTGTTGCCCTACTTTACAGATGAGAAAGTTGAGGCTCTAGACAGAAGTGGCCCAGCTTAAGACACCAAATGTGTCCCAGACCCTGGCTGCGGCTGAGGGGGGTGGGGGACGACAACACAGGGAGGGACTGGACATGGTTCCCCCCCTTGAGTAGCTGTGGTCTGGAGGGAAGGGCAGACCAAAGCCCAGGTGAGTGTGACCTGAGGGAGAGAAGACTAGAGCCTGGAGTATGGGCAGCTCTGGAAGGAGTGAGGATAACCTGGTCAAGAAGAAGGGCCTGGAGGAAGGTGCAACTGTGGCAGTGTCAGCCCTGAGAGGGGATCAGGGTCCAGACATTAACTGAGAGAGACTTCATGTGGGGCCCTGTGCTGCAATGGAGGCGGTCCGGATGGGTGGGCCTCAGCCCCCACACAGGGATAGGGGAGTAAACACCATGATGGGGGCAAGGAGGCTGTAGGACCTCAGAGGAGGGGCACTGATGCAGCCTTGATATGTGTTGTGTGGTCTGTGTGTGAATGTGTGTGGTCAGGATAATGTGAGAGGTGTGTATGTGTTGAATGGTCTGTATAAAGTGTGTGTGAGTGTGTATCCATGGTCCATGTCACATGGAATGTGTGTGTTTTTGTTGTGTGTATCTTTGTGTGGTGTTGTCAGTGTGATGTGGAGCAAGTAAGTGTCTGTGTTGTATGGTGTGTGTGGCCAAGGGGTGGTATCTGGGACACTCCCCAAGGGAACAGCTGTCTAAGGAGAGATGGAGGAGGAGGAGCTATCCAGGAAAAACTCCAGAGGAGAGCGGGAGGGGATGTTTGAGAGGAGGGACCAGTGCAGGCAAAGGCCTTGAGGCAAGGCAGCCAGAACACCACAGGACTTGAAAGCTTCCAGGGGGCTGGGGGCAGGGTGGAAGAGGCAAAGGGGTGGAGGCGGCGGGGCAGGCTGTGCAGGCCTTTTTCTGTTAGCTTGAGAGCTGTGTGTGTGTGTGTGTGTGTGTGTGTGTGAGATCACCCAATAAACAAGGTAAGGATGAACGTTCTTGTGCTTATTTACTAATCTGCAAAGAAGTTCACGACAGATAAGTGAGGACAAGTAAGCCCGTGCCTACCTTGTTACTGCGTACTCTGTCCCTGTCAGGGATTCTAAATATGAAAGAGAGGCTTTGATTCTGTAGGAAGGTGCTGTGGGGTTGGGAGAGAAAGAGATGCCAAAACCACTGCCATGGAGGAGTCAAATCCGACTCATAGCGACCCCTCCTTGGGTTTCCAAGGAGGTATCACTATGGAAGTAGATTGCCCAACCTACCTTTCAAAGAGTGGCCAGTGGGTTTGAACCGCCAGCCTTCTGGTTAGCAGTTAAATGCCTTAGGCACTACGCCACCAGAGCTCCCAAAGGGATGCCAGCCATACCTAAAGCAGAATTTTCGGTATGGTGATAAAAAGGTGCACATGTTCACTACAGATTAGTAAGTAAGCATAAGTAAATCCATTCTTACCTTGCTTATGGGGTAATCCGACGTGGGTGTGTGGGAAGGGGGGTGTAGGAGGCGGCTAGATCTGCTGTCCAGGTGGACAGTGGGGCCTGGACCCTGCGCCCCAGCAGATACTGGATGGGAGTAAGGAGTACGTGGGGAAGAGCCCAAGTCCTTGCCCACATGTCTGGGACGCTGCAGGGTCTGGAATCCCAGACCGGAGCCTAGGCCCCTTTTCCCCCCAAAAGCAGAAGCCAAAAGGTTGTTTACGTTCCCATCTGTAAATTGGGTTCTAGGATTAAGTTCTGTTAAAGAGAACAAAGAACCTAAGCAGCACAGACTTTTTTTTGGAGCACACTTTGTAGGGGCTCCAGGCTGTGGGCGGGGAGACCGTCATTCCTCCACAAGTTGAGAGATGTGACATTGGCCAGCCCACACTGGGGCCCCCAGTTGGCACCACTGTCCCCAGGGCACCCACCCAGGAAGCAGGGAGGTAGGATTTGAACCCAGGTCACCTGGCTCCAAAATAGTACTCCAACTTCAGTAGTAATCGTAACAGTAACTGTAACAGTTATAACAGCTGTCACGTATGTAGTCCTCACATAGCTGTGTGTTTTCTCCGTTAATCCTCTATCCTCATATAAATTCCAGATGGCAATTATATTATAATGCCCTTTTACAGATGAGAAAACTGTGGCCCGAAGTCCTGCAGTCCAGCCAGGACTCAAATCCAGGCGCCTGCTCCGTAAAGCCCCACCCCTTTTATCACAGGAGATACCCCTTCCCAGCATATGCCTGCCGGGAGTGCTCATGGGTAACACTGCTCTTTCCATGGCATGACACAGCCTTCTGGCACAGCAGAAAGAATTTGGAACTGGGGGACCAGAAATCCAGATTGACTGCCAATCTGCTGTTATACCTTGGGCCAGTCCCTTCTCAACTCTGGGTTTGGGATTACTCAGCTATGCAGTTCACTAGCAGAGTGTTTAAAGATTTGTTGAGTATCTGCTAAGTAGCAGATGAGAAAACCGAAGTTGGGAGAGCTTAAAAGACTTTCCCACTTGAAAGCAAAGACTCAAAAAGAGGCTTTACACCACTTTGCATTGCAGCACTATTTACATCAGCCAAAAAGGTGGAAACAATCTAAATGCCCATCAGTGATTGGATGAATGGATAAACAAAATGTGGTACATACATACAATGGAATACTACTCAGCCAGGAGGAGAAATAAAGTCTTGATACATGCTACAGTACGGACGGAGTGAATTAAATCAATTCCAAAAGGACAAATATTATATGATCTCACTTATATAAAAAGGCAAGAGGCAAATGTATAGAGATCAAAGTTATTAGTGGTTACCAGGGGCAGGAGGGAGGGGGAACAGGGATTTGCCAGTGATGGAAAAAAAGGCATTGGTTAAAGGTAGGGTTGCACAGCCGATTACTGTAATTGCTGTAAGTTGTGCACCTGTAAAAAGTTGAATTGGCAAAGGTTGTGGGATAGATATAATTACATCAACAGAAAAAAAAATAGCAGTTGAGGCTGCTTATGTACAACCAACACTATGGGATTTGGTTTCTTGGTTTGGAGATTTAGGGTCATGCTTTCATGGGACATCCCAGTTCATTGACTTACTAATGTGTCTAGTGCTTCTGTTCTACCTCCAGGTCCTTGCCTAGTGTCTGAGGTCTTAAAAGCTTGCTGGTGGCCTTTCAAGACACAGCAGTTGGTCTCTATCCACCTGGAACAACAGAAATGGAACGTGTGGCTAACTGCCTCCATGAACAAATGCCTCCTTTGCCCTGAGACCAAAAGAACTGGATGGTGCCCAGCTGCCATTAATGAACATTTTAATCAAAGATTCCATAGAAGAATCCTGATCAAAAAGGAGAAAATGCAGAACAGAATTTCAAATTCTCATCGACTCTACACTTTCTGGAGCCACGGAGGGTGGATGAACCCAGCATGGCCAAGATAATATTTAAACCTTAAACCAAAAATATCATCTGAAGTTTTCTTAAAACCAGACAATAGTTTTAACTAGCAAAAAAGGCCTGCCTTGATGATTCAACTCATAGTGACTCCTCTTTGGGTTTCCAAGGCAGTATCTCAGAATTGCCCAATCTTCCTTCTCGAGGAGTGGCTGGTGGGTTTGAACCACTAGCCTCCTGGTTAGTAGGCAAATGCCTTAGGTACTGCACCACCAGAGCTCCCAAACTGACAACAGCAACTCCAAAGATTACATAGGAATTTTAGGAAGAACTGAATTTATGCTAATGAGGGGGGAACAACTCAAAAAAGCCTGCACAACTGGAAGAATGGTCGCACAACTCGAAGAATGTAATCACTGTCACTAAATGGAACATGTGGGAGCTCTGGTGGCGGTTCAAACGCACCAGCCACTCCTGGGAAGGAAGGTTGGGCAATCTACTTCCGTAGTGATACTGCCTCGGAAACCCAAGGAGGGGTCGCTATGAGTCGGAGACGACTGGACGGCACACATAACAACAACAAATAGAACACGTAGAAACTGTTGAACTGATGTATGTTTTGCTGTGTATATTCTCAACAACAGCAACAAGATAAATAAAATTTTTTCAAAAATTTAAAAAAGACTTGCCCAAGGTCAGGCAAACAGCATAAAGTGACCACGAATTTTAATTCAGAATCCGAGGGTGTGCCCCTTACCATCAGCCTATATACATACACCACGACCCCAAACATCGCCTTCGTGCCCCAGGGCCCCCAGCGCAGGGCTGACGTTCCCCACGCGGTTCCAGGCTCTGCCAGCCTGACGTCAGGCCGGAGCTGGCGGGCTTTCGTTCTGCACAAACATCGCCGCGGGCCGAGGCTGGGGGCGGCGATGACTCAGGGCCCCGAGACCCGCCGGGAAGCGGAAAGTTTTGTACCGATGACATCACCGGGCCGCGAGGGCTGGAGGAGGCGGGCTCCGGGAAACAGCAGCTTGGTGTGCGGCCCCACCCGGAGCAGGGCGGGGGAGCCAGAACGGAGCGCTCGGCCGCGCAGAAAAATAACCTCCTCCGCCGGGAACGCAGGCCCTGGAGCCGAATCCTGCTCTTCACCAGCAAGGAGCTGGCTCCACCCGCCTGCTCAAACGACGCGCTCCCCAGTGCTCCGGAGGCAGCCGCATCCATCCTGCTGCGTCCCTGCATTTTAATTACCACGGCATTAATATTCATGAGTCGGGACTGGAGGGGGACCGCGGGCTGTCATTTCCTTTGCCCGCACACCGTCCCCCCCTCGTACCCCTCTTCCCTGAGTCGTGGGTTTTGTCCTCCTGCTCTCACCCCCGCCCGCGCCAACAGTTGGTGTGCAGCAGACTTGGGGTGTGTGTCAGTGTACGAACGAGTGTGAGCGGGTGTGGATGCTGTGGGGAAGAGCGAGTGGGGGGACAGGAGAGTAATGAGGTTCAGGGTGGGGTGCTGCGGGTGAATATGACGTACCTGTGTGTGATCTGTGTGTAGATGTATGAGTGTGTCTGTGTGCACGAGTATGTAGCTATATGTGTGTACACATGTATGCTTGTGTCTGTGGGCAACTCCCAAGGGCCGTGTGCAGGTTTTTGGGAGGTGAGTGTGTGTGCACATATCTGTGCTGGTCTTGGGGAAAGGTCAAAGCTGTTGGGGTTGGAGGGGCCTGACTATACAAATAGCATAGTGCCTAAGGCACTTGACTGCTAACCAGAAGGCTTGGCCGTTCAAACCCACCAGCCACTCCTTGGAAGGAAGGTTGGGCAATCTACTTCCATAGTGATACTGCCTGGGAGACCCTAGGGGGGGATGGCTATGAGTCAGGGCCAACTCAACGGCACATAACAATAACAACAACAAGAGCTAGAGGGAGGCTACAACTTGTCAGAAGTCAGAGGCTGGTAGTCTCAGCTGTCTGCCCTCTTGTGCTGTTTATAACAATGCAGACAGAGTGCGCTGAGTCCGCGGCTCTTACTTGACCTGTCCAATAAACCTGTGGTAAGTAGTGCTCCTGGCCTCCTTCACAGATGGGGAAACGGAGGCAAGGGGGCCAACTAGTGAATGGTGGGGCTAGAGCCAAGAAGTATCTGAGTCCAGAGCCCCTGGCTTTAATGACCATACCACACTACCTCATGTAGAATTGTGGGGGGGCCTCACTGGAGTGACCTGGAGATTGCTCAGGGGCCAAGCCAGTTCCCAGGCATCAGAGGGTGTTCAGCAGAGACAGCGCACCATCTTTTTACCTCCCAAGTGATTAAGGGAGCTGTTTTGCTGTGGCTCCCAGTTTTCCCCAACTGACCTCTTCCTGCCCCCAAAGTCTGTCCAGAGCCACCCTGCACACCAAGAGCTGGACGGAATATAGAAGGTCTTGTTTCACACAAAGCCCCATGTAGGGGACCAGGCAGGCAGATCTCCAAGCTCCTGGGGCCCTTCTCCCTCAGTCTGAGCTTAGGCAATGAATGACCCATTCATTCATTCATTCATTCATCAGTTCATCCAACAAATGCTTAAGTGGCTATATGTCAGCTGCTGTGGATTCTGGAGGAGGCTATGCTGCATTGCCCCCAACCCTAGTCACCTTCACCCAAGGTGGAGGCCTTGGGGCTCCAAGAGGGAGCTTCTCATCAGGAAGCATAAAAGCAGCTTCCTGCCCCCAGCCCGGCCAGCCACGGAGGTCCTGGGTGCACACACATTACTGGGGAGGGGCAGCCGGGCTGTGCCATTTTTGAGCTGGTGGACGGGAGGTTACACACAGGAGGCTTGTTCCTGGTTTGCTTCTTTCTCCTTCTGGAACTTGCCCACTTCAGCCTCCAAGCCAAATAATCCCAGGGGCTTGTAGATCTGTCTTTCCCTGGGTTGAGTCAAGGCCGTCCTCCCTCTCCCATCCATTCTGCCCCGGTCCTGCCCTTTTGAGCACCCAGAACAGGCTGATTGTTCTTTCCTCTCCGCCTACACGCTGGGGCTGGAACGGGAAGGCCATGTCCCTTGAGCCTTTTCTTCCCTCCTGGAGGGAGTTCCACAAGAACACAGATAAAGGGACGGGGGTATAGTCAGAGGATTCTCTGGAGAGGAAGTGATAGATTAACTGGGCTTCAAGGGGCAAGCAGGAGTTTACCTTGTGGAGGTGGGGAGCAGGGAAGAGAGGGACCACAGGCAGAGGGAATGGCTTGAGCGAAGGCTCAGAGGGCTAACTAGAGCCTCCATTACAGGAACCAGTATAGGTCAAAGGTATGAGATCTGGGGGGACTAAAGGAAAGAGTTTCCCATGAAGAGCCCCTGAAATAGCTGTCCTCATTTAGCCCAGAGGGGAATTTAAGGAGCAGCCCTGGTGCCACAGCCCAACCAGTGGGGAGGAGTTTGGGCAGGGACAGCTGCTGGGAGGAATGGGGACAAGGCTAAAGCTCTCAGTCAGAGAAGGCTCAGGCTCTAGGTAAGAACCAAGGACCCCTGAGGAGGATGTCAAAGCCCTCGGCCCTCCAGCCCAGCTCTATGTAGACCTCTGAGATGGTATGGCCAGACCACCCATCACTCAGCCTGAGAGCTTGTGGCCATAGAGGCAGCCTGGGCCCACCTAGGTCAACTGCTGTAGCCTCCCACTCTCTTGCCTCCTGGCATCCCTTTTCTCTTTGAAAGTCCCCCCCCCCCCCATTTTTTGAGTAAATAATACCTGCTAACAGCACACACAAAAGAAAATTTTTAAGGAAGCACTGTGAAAGTTCACACAATGCATCCTGACCCTGTCCTCTTTGCTTTTTGTATATGTTTCCTATAGAAATACAAGAACTTCCTACAGACTCTCTTTCTAAAACTCCCATGGGATGATGTCTACCTCTGCTCAAAGACTTAGATGGCTCTCTATTTTTATAAAGTAAAGGTAGCTTTCTAACGCCTTGGCAGCTGGGCCTCAGCCTCATCTCTGTCACTCCCCCTTCTCCTTCATTGCCACTGACCCAGGCCTGGCTGCCCTTCCCTAAAGGGGCCTTATCCTCTCAAGCTGCTCTGTCTCTGTCTTTGTTATGCCAGCCTTCAGGAATGGCCCTGGCCTACCTTGATGTCCTGCACATAGTAAGTATTTGCAAACTTTATTTTGTAAAAAATACTCAAATTGCTTTTTCTTTAAGGGCTCAGGCTCCAAACCAGCAGATTCAGTGTTCAAATCCTGGCTCAACTGCTTCCTGTGTGTCTCTGAGAAAATGAACCAGCCTTTCTGATGGTCAGATATCTCATCTGGAAAATAAAAAGTTAATAATAAAACTTCCCTCCAAGAGCAACAGTCAGCACAGGGCCTGAAGCAGGGAGTGGCCAGCTAGTTCTACTCATTTATGTTATTTAGCCTTTTCTTATTCAGATCTGCCCCATGTCACCTGTCTGGTTGGGGCAGTGTTGGTACTTGAGCCTCTTCTCCACTCCAATGCTCTTTCCTTTCCTCTGGTGCACGAGGGTCATAGATCAAGGCTTCTGTTTTGTGGACGAGAAAAGGTCTAGAGAGGCCAAGTTGCTCACCCTAGTTCACACATCAACTAGAGCCAGGCAAGGGTGGGCGGGCCTGTCTGCTGAGTCCCCAGTGGGCCCTTTAAATTGCTTACCAGAGAGACCCCAGGGCTCCAGTGAGACCCACTATCCTGACCAGGGGCCCTTCTGCTCCTGGTGGCCAGGAAGCTGTCAAGGTCGGCAGCTCAGAAGCTGGGTGGTCCCCCACAAGTGGTGTTAAGTGAGGCAAGCACTAAAGCACATAACCCCCTTTGATGTGTGAGGAGCTGTGCTAAGCACACATGGACATAGCCTCCTTCAATCCTCACAGGGATCCTGTTGTCCCATCTTCCAGGGACCTCCACTGGGGATCCCAAGGTGAATAAGCTTGCTAAAGGAGGGGTAGAGACAGGACTCACACCCTGATTTGGCTCCCCAGCTGAGTCCTCCACTGGCCACAGAGAACAATGAGTGTTTGCCTGTGTTGTTGAGTCTGGGGCTGGAGCTGGAGCCCAGTCCCCCCACCTCCCCATGGTTGGGTCTGCTTCGTGGGCCCTGTGGAACATCTAGGGGTTTCCCCTCCCCCAGACTCAGACCCACAGAGCCTGTCCAGCTGGGTCTCTGAGCCACACCCAAACTCTTTCCGGCTTTGCCAGGCAGGCTGGAAATTTCTGCTCAGCAGCTTTGTCTGGAATGATTTCGACACTCTGGCTCAGCTCAGTGGGGGACGGGGAGGAGGAGCCAGGCCCTTCAACAGGCTCAGCATTCTATTGGCTCCACTGTGGGGCAGGGCATAGGAAGGGGGGAGGCTTTTGCTAGGCTCCCAAGCCCTTTAGAAATAGTAATAATAAACAACCAACCCCAACAACCGTCACCGTGTGCTGAGTGCTTACTGCGCCAAACCCTGTGCTAAGTTTCGACTTGCACTTCCTCATAGAACCTTTCTAACGCCTAAGCGAGGCTAGCCCTGTTACTACCCCGTCTTACAGATGAACCAGAGGGGCTCAGAGCTGTGAAGGCCCCCAGGTCACACAGCTCCAAGGCTGGTTACATACCAGAGCTAGGCAGATTCAATTCACCAACTGTCCAGGAGCAGGCAAGGCTGGAATGGGGCCAGGTGGTGACCAGACAGTAATGCATGTTGTGTGTGTGTGTGGGGGGGGCGGCGCAGGGAGATGGGGACTCTGGGGACCCCTAATGGAAACTGAGGCAGATGGAAATCAACTGGTGGCTTGACCAGAGACTGCAGTCCAGGGGAAGGCATGCCTGGAACTGGAATCTCTTGTTAGCATCTAGAAGTCTTCTCATTGGACACTCTGAGGAGTCCCCCTGGAGACCTCAAAGGGTCTGGAAACTTTTCCCCACTACCCGTCTATTGACATGCCTATCTCTGGTAAACCAGCAATTCCATTCACTCCTCCACCAGGCCCTGGGGCTGGGGGCAGCTGGCACTGTGCTGCCAGATGGGCAGGCATATACTTACTGCCCTCTTGGGGCTTCCAGCAAAACGCTTGTCAAATTCAGCCAGTGGTTAAGGTGCCTCTACTGTGTGCCTGGCCCTGTGCCCCTATGGTTGTCACCAGGTACAAAGGGTGAAGGAGGAATCAAGAGGCCGCTCCAGGCAGACAGATGAGTCCCAGACCCACTAAGTGACCCGCAGGAGTGATGATCCTTAGTGGGCCACTGGCTTCCCTTCACCTAAATGGGCATAACAACCCCTACCCTCCCGGATAGCTAAGGATTCGGTGAGCTCCTGAGAAACTGCGCAAGGAGGCAAAGGGGACCACCCCTGGCCTTCCTTTAAGGCTCCCTCCCCTCGTCTCGTCCAGGCCGGGTTGCCGAGGGCGATGCGTGCAAGGCGAGGCGGCGGCGCGGGCCCAGGCGCCCAGTTCAGCGGAAAGGAATGTCTTGCTCGGCGGGGGAGGCCGCGGCCCGAGGCCGTGTAAACCCCGCCGCCCTCCCCGGGCCTCATTTATTGCGGCTCTGAAGCCGGGTTCGTTCCGCCAGCAGGGCTGCTCGCCGGGCTCCGGTGACTGACTCACTCCGCCCCCCGCCACCGCCTCCCCCTTCATCCTTGCACCGCCACCACCGGTAGATCCTCTTCCAACCTTCGCCCAAAGTTGGGGGGAGTCTCCGAGCCAAGGTGCGCGCGCGCCACAGCCGGCGGGCACCCTGCCCCGCCCCCACGCCGCCTCGGCCCCCTCCCCGCTCCCCGCGCGCCCCTCCTCCTCCATAACTCAAAAGCTTGTCAAGCTGGTTCCAGACTCCTGGCGCCGGGCTCCGCTCCAGGAAAGAAAAAAAGGAGAAAGAAAAAGGGAAAAAGCCGGCGCGAGGGAGAGAGAGGCGGAGAGGAAGGCCCGTGGAGCGAAACCGTGCGCCACATGGGTGCACATCACCCCAGCCCCGGCTCCCCTTAACCCTAATGGGGAACCCCCCCCCGCACCCTAGGGAGAGCGCGCGTGCGCACTGCAGTATCAATTATTTATGGTCGAATCAATTATTTAGCTGCCCCGGGATGGGGAGGGGGCCAGGGTAGGCCGGGCCAGGGTAGGCCAGGCCAGGGAGGCGAAAGAGACCGTCCCATCCGCATCCGCGGTCGCCGCCCTCCCACTGGGCCTCGGGGTCTGGAGGCATCCCCACGCCAGGGGTCCTGTTGTGAGAAATCTGCTTCGGGGTGGGCTCCTGGAGGAGTGCGGGGAGATCTGCGGAAGCGGGAGACTCGGGCTCAGAAACCTCCTAATTAGAGGGAGGTGGGTGCGGGCGGCTAGGGATGGAAAGCGCTGGCTGAAGAGGGCGGCGGGGGGGAGGAGTCTGGGTTGAACGTTTCTGGCCTATAGATTTCTTCCTTTCTTCACTTACATCTTACTGCGAGCCCAGTACGTGCCCCTGTTCCCACAGTACAGGGGAGTAGTGGGGAGGGGAGCGGTTAAGAGCAGGAATTTGGAGTTAGAGCTGGGCTTAAATTCTGGTTTGTATTCACCCCAGTCCTCCTCCCCGCCCTCACATGTGGCCTTAAGCTAGTGACTTGACCCTCTCTGAGCTTCCACTCCCTCATCTGGAGGTTAGTGATAATCAGAGTGAGGACTAAAGAAGATGGGTGTAAGGATTGGGGAGGCAAGACCTGGAGGTGGGGAAAACGTGTGTGTGTGTGTGTGTGTGTGTGTGTGTGTGCGCGCGCGCGCGCGCGTGCTCTATTGTTGAGAACATTTTTACGTTGAGGGGAGACATCCTCAGTATCCCTTCTCCACTCCAAACACCCCCATCTTCCCACCAGCTCTGGGCCCTGGATACCCTGCATCCTCCAGTGAGCTTAAACATTTGAAGGTTATTATCTGAGCCAACTCAATTCCAAGGCAGCTGCCCAGGCCTTACCTCTGGTTGGCTCTTCACCAGCTTGGCCCTTCAAAGGCACATGTGTCAGGCTTCCAGAGTGGTGTATCTGAAGCTCAGCCCTGTCCTCGGCTCCCTACCTCCAACGTCTCCTTCCCTCTCCTTCCTTCCCCTTTGCTATTCCTTCCTTTCTCCTTCCAGCCCACTCCTCCCCGTTTCCAGTTTCAGCTAGAGAGGTTTGGAGCCCAGAGGTCATGAGATGACGAGCTGCCACAACAAGAGGGGAGGGCTCAGCTCTTCAGGAGGTCTTGGTCTTAGCCACTATGCTACCAGAGCTCCATCTTTATTATTACTATCTTTATTATTAGTAGTAATCATTAGGAGTTCTGGTGGCACAGTGCCTAAGGTATTTGACTGCTAACCAGAAGGTTGTCTGTTCAAACGCACCAGGTGGTCCGCAGAAAGACGATGGGGCAATCTACTTCTGTAAAGATTTACTGCCTTGGAAACCCAATGGGGGTTGCTATGAGTCGGAATCAACTCCATGGCTGTGAGTTTGTTTTTTGATTGTTAAAGTCCTACTGTGTGCCTGAGCCTGGGTCAGAGGCTGCAGATAGCTGATGTATTGGATACTCATAAGAACTCTTGAGAGGTAGGGACACTTATTGCCCCATTTTACAGATGAGGAAACTGAGGCCCGCGGAGGCAAAATGACTCGCAAAGGGACTCCAGTACTTGGGAATGAGGAAGTTGGGACAGGAACTGTGGAACTCACAGTCTTAACCCCTCCCCTCTGCTGCTCACACCACACACTAGACACAAAGCCACCTGACCCAAGGAATATAACTTGCAGGAGACCTGTGTGAACATCCAGAGGTGAGAACTGACACAAATCAGAAATCAAATGCTACAGAGTCACTACAGGGATCTCATGCTAAGATGTGCAACAAAATAAGTCAACAGGCCCAAAAGGAATCTAAGCAGGTAGATCTCTTCTTCCTGGTATCTTTGGAGTCAGCGTTCAGGGGAATGTGTGTTTGTGGATGGATTTGATGTATTTGCTTCAGGCAAATCTGTGCCTTTTCTCTGGCTGCAGTTCTGGTGCAAAAGGAAGGGGTGGGGCCTAGCGAGAGGCTTGTACCTGGGCTGGTGTTGGGAACTGCCAGCCTGTGAGGTTCTTAAGCTCCTTCAGCAAGGTTGTCACACGCAGCCCTGAGCAAATGCTCTGCACAAACTAGGCAAATCTTTCCTGCCCAAGGAGGAGCGTTAAGGCACTGGGGAGGTTCCAGGTGGGGAATAAGCTGACTTACAGCCACAGTTTGAGGCCTGAGGGGGGCTACCTGGGAAAGAGAGTGTGCACTTGTTCTGGGGGAAACCAGAAGGCAGGACTAGGGGAGCTTACCCAGAGGTGAATTTTGCCTCACAAGATGAACAATCTAATAGGGCAGCCTTTTAGGTAGTGAGTGCCCCATTTGGGGAGGTATTCAAAGATAAACAGAGGGTGTGGGGATACAGAGCCATCCCTCAGAAAAAAGGTTGGCTGAGGCAAGTCTGAGGTCTTTTTCAATGTTGGAACACTGGGAATTTCCATACTTAACATAACTCGCCAGACCAAGTGCAGCTGACGGAAATAATTAACAGAGATTTTGATCTGGGAACCCACAGACCCAAGAGAGGCACCAGGGACACCAAATCAAGCCATTCCAACCAAACTGCCATTTCTTGACATTCAAATACACTCTTTTCTTTTGTAGTCATTTGTAAATGCACATTAACCTTTCAAGATCCCTGAAACAGTTTGCACTTGGCTACTAACAAAAAGGTTGGCTGGTGGTTCAAACTCATTCCCTGGTGCCATGGAAGAAAGGCCTGGCAATCTGCTTCCATAAAGATTACATTCAAGAAAACCCTGTGGAGCTCAGCTCTACTCTGTAATACGTGGCGTCTCCATGAGTTGAATCAACTTGACTGCAAGGAGTTTGGTTTGGTTTTTACTAATCCTTCATTATAGTTATTAATAACAATCTTACTATGACCACCAATAACTATAGTGCCCATAGCATTAACTGAGCACTTACTGTGAGACAGGGAGGGTCTACTCCAGACACTCCTATGTAAATGTACACGATGGATACAGCAGCCCTCTGAGGAAGCTCCTTACTTTGACCATCATTTCTGTTTTATAGGTGAGGTTACTGAGGCCCAGAGAGCTGACCTGCTAAACCCCAGGTTATGGAGATGTGGGTCTCTGCCTCTGTGCCACCCCCCCAAAGCTCTGGGGACCAAGACTTCTGAGAAGTAAGGAGGGATGTCCCTGCACAGTCCTTGGAGTGCAGCTGGGAGAGAGCCTGAACTCTTTCCTTACCTCTGTAACACATCTCTTGGGCCTTGACACAATTCCATCTGCTGGGGCCGCTTCTGCCCTCAATGGCCAGGGGTTGGGTGGGGGCACCCCTGGCCACTCCCATCACCAGAGGAATACAGAGCTGCAGAACCCAGAACTGGTTAGAGAGAAAAGGTCAACTTGTCCAACTTCCTTGTGTTATACCAGGAAGCTTCTCATGAGTTTCAGAGAGAAAAGACTTTTCAACGTCATCAGCAAGTTCTATGGCATCTCAGGTCCCCTGAGGCCTCTACATAGGCTTCTCCTGCTGCGCTCACATATCTCATTCCTGAATATTTTATACCATGTTCCAAAAAAAAAAAAAAAACCCAACTCACTGCCCTTGAGTCGATTCCAACTCATAGCGACCCTTCCTTGGGTTTCCGAGGCGGTATCTCTACGGAAATAGATTGCCCAGTCTTCCTTATACCATGTTAGTAGTAACATAATACTAAGAAAACATTATTAAAAGGACCTGCCAGGTGTCAGGGGTTTACTGTGTACCAGATAATGTGCCTGAAGATTGATTTCTCACCTATATAGCAGAGATAATGGGGATGCTTCCCTGCTGACCTCACAGGGAGGGCTCAGGTCAAAGGTCACAGCAGATAGGAACAGAGCATTTTATAAACTGTAAAGTGATGAGTTCATGGAAGACATTATCATCACTTTCTCTGAATGTGGAGAATAGACATTAGAAGTGTTGCATCTCCTACCAGGAAAACTCAATAGCATTTAGGGCTGAAAACAATCAGTCCTTCAAGGGTGAGATCCTCCCTTGAAGAGCACCTAGGCCATCTGTTCATTTACTCTCTTATCTACCCCAAAGTCATGTTGGAAACACCTGCTATGTGCAGCACAAGGAGTTTAGCCTAGTGGTTTTAACACAGACACCGGATCACCTCTCCTGGATCTGAGTTCAAGTCTTGGTTCCACCACTTCCCAGCTGACCATGGACTTCCTTCCCAGAGCCTCTGTGTTTGGGTTAGAAAGCCAGACCAGTTACTCTAGCAGAACCTGGATAACAGTAGCTGAAGGAGCAAGAAGCTAATTTCTTCCATGTCTCTGTCTAAGGTGGTTCTACTCCTCGAGCTGGTCCAAGCCCAGACTCCTATCTTTTTGCTCTGTTCTCTTCCAGGCAGTTGCCTCTGTCCACAGGGTTGAAGATAGCCATGCAGGAATGGAATAGACTCTATCCCCTTGTATGTTGGGGTGATGTGAGAAGTGGAACCACTCCTTCCTTTTAAGAGCAAAATGGAAGGTGGATAGAGCACTTCCATTGGGCAGAGGTGATCATATGACCACACATAGCTGCAAGGGAGGGTGGGAAATGTAGTATTTAGCCAGGCAGCCATGTACCTCATTAAAACCTGGGAAGGGGTATTCTGTTACTAAAAGGAGATGACAGAATGAATACTAGGTGACAGCCAGAAGCATCTGCCACATAAGAGTCAGAGAGATACTTGGGGGAAGCTTTAAGGCCAAGGCAGGTACACGGCTGGTGCTTAGGAATTAGCAGCTGT